GTTTCCCCTACTTGGCTGATCCTGTCAACGCACCCCTCCTCCTGTTACAGCATTCGGCTATGCAGACGGGTGCTCGCAGAAGGCCACTTCGAGTGGGCCGAGAGTTCGAAGATGGAGAAGGAGGCGCGCATGAGGCGCCTGCAGCGCGCGAATTTGTGGAAGAGTTTCGACGACCTCTTGGGGGATTTCAAGTGGTCAGAAGAGAACCAGAACACGCCTTTTGGACAGAGGACTGCCATTTCTGCCCCTTGCGCACGGTGCACGTTTATACATTGCGCGCCTTGCATGTCTAGTTGGTTGAACGTCGTTCTCCTGCCTATCGGCCTGTCGATTGGTGACGTCTTGGAGGAATCGATCGCCGAAACTCCTCGACGTCGCCAGTCGGCTCTAGTCCTTGCGCTCCCAGGGCGTACCAGAGAGCTATGGCCGTGGTGAACTACTGCAAGGCCCTGAAGAAGACTCACGTGAAGGTGGGGGGACGGGGATCGACGGGCCCGAGAGGGGAGGATCCTCCGGATGGTGAGGGGAGGGAGTGATCGAGGAGCTAGGGGAGGGGAGGGACGTGGAAGAGGGGAGGAGACGGGGATGGGAGACATCGACGAGGCTCGGGTGGGAGGGCGAGTGATCGACATAAAAAATGATAACTGGGCAGGTGGATGAGCAGACGGGGGAGGCGATGCACCGCAGACTCAACGAGATGGAGTTTGACAACCTCGACCATGAGCAGAGCATCGAGACGAGGCTCTCGACGAGCAAGCACAAGCTCGACATCCAGGGGGGGGGGCTCGAGCGCGGCCCCATCGTTCGCAAAGGACCCTAGATGAGTGAGGGTGAGTGCCCAGAGAGGTGATAGCGGAGGGACGCCCTGAATGGGCAGGCGAGGGGAGGGAGAGCGAGCGAAAGATAGAGAGAGAGAGAGAGAGAGAGAGAGAGAGAGAGAGAGATAGATAGCGAGATAGAGAGAGAGAGAGATGAGAGAGAGGAATCAGAGCCTCGAGATAGCTCAGCCCAGGAAGAGGAGTCTGACTGCTCGTACAGCTCGTACAGCTCCGAGGGATCTGACAGTGAGGCTGGCATGGCGATACCAAATTCGTGACCGCACGCCCCAGGTTGATGGATCGGGAGCGTTGTGTGTGAGAGAGATGGGCTTAAGATCGGGATCGGTCGATCGATCGATCCGCTCCCTCCCTCCCCCAGCCTAGAGGCCACCCCGCCTGAAGCGGCTTGGGCCACTCAAGACCCACCCGCTGCAGCCACCCGTGAGATCGATCGATCATGATCTTAAGCCCTTCTCGGCCCTGCGTTCTGGTCTAGTCCTCGGGGCGCTGGCGAGCTCGATGCCCCAATCGATCAGGCAGCCAGTGCCGCTGCTCCGTGGAAGCCGAAGCCCGACCTTGCCGCGGCGCTGGGGGACGTGAGCAACTACGAGACGTTGCTTTCGGGGCTCGACGTGGGACGGGGCAGTGGCCCCGCGTGAGACACTCGAGCGATTCGAGCGATGAGGATCGATGAGGAGTCAGATCGATCGAGGAGGGCCATCACACATGTTGTTAGAACGGTCTGGTAGCTGACGAGGGTGATCAGGATGAGGAGGACGAGGGCGGCCAGGGTAAGGATGGTGAGAAGGAGTAGGAGGAGGAGCATGGCGATGAGTAGGAGCTGGATTTAGAATTACGAGGGGAGGTGAACAACCACGGGTTCCTCAAGCCCTGGGCGGGCGAGATCGCTAAGTGCATCAAGGAGCTGGGCATGTGGAGCAAGAGCATCAAAGCAGCCATCCAGGGGAAGTCATCAGGGGAAGATGCGATATCATGATGGGGAGGCTGCAGCAGTGCACATGGGGTACGTGTGCGTGTGAATGTACCTATACATGTAGGGAGAAGGAGGAGGAGGAGGAGGAGGAGGTGACGGGAAGAGTCTCGAATGCATAGGGAAGGGGGCTACAGGATGGACGAGGGCTGATGATGAGGATCCATCGCTTCCAGGCTCTCATTAACTTGGTGGGGAGGTCCACTATCGGCCCCGACGAAAAGAACAACCTCGATGCCTGCATCACCGAGTCGAAGCGGGTGTGGGGTCCCATTGGGCCCGTGATGCAATCGATTGGGCAGCTTCATGACATGAGCGGCAAGTGAGTACCACGTTGCCCGTGCAACCCTTGCTCTATCCTACCCATGCACGCATGGGCGTCACCCTTGCAGGTATGATGTTATGTTGAGCCCATGTGTACACCCATCCTTTGCGTGTTGTCGATCAGCGGGCTCTCAATGAACCCTCGCAATGGACCCTCAATGGACCCTCAATGGACCCGTAGTGGACCCTCAATGGACCCTTAGTGGAACCTCAATGGACCCTTAGTGGACCCTCAATGAACCCTCAGTGGACCCTCAGTGGACCCTCAATGGACCCTTAGTGGACCCTCAGTGGACCCTAAATGGATCCCCAGTGGACCCTCAATGGACCCATTGATGGACCCTCAGTGGGCCCTCAATGGACCCTCTATGGACCATCAAACCCTCAATGGACCATTAATGGGCCCTCAATGGACCCTCAATGGACACTCGCAATGGACCCCCTCACTGAAACCTCAATGCGCCCTCAATGGACCCTCGCAATGGGCCCTCGCAGTGGACCATCCGTGACCCCTAAATTAGACCTTCATTGGACTCTTAGTGGACCCTCAATGGACCCTCAGTGGACCCTCAGTGGACCCTCAGTGGACCCTTAGTGGACCCTCAATGGACCCTTAGTGGACCCTCAATGGACCCTTAGTGGACCCTCAATGGACCCTTAGTGGACCCTCAGTGGACCCTCAGTGCATGGACCCTCGCGGTGGACCCTCAGTCATGACTTGCAGGATCGCTGCAGGGAACACTCAAATTTCCCTCTTCTCTTCGCTCCCTGGCGGAGCTTTGCTTGCAGTCGGTCGAGGCGCTATCTATAGTGTCCAGGGTTCGAAGGCACTGCCTAGCTAGTGTCGTTCTGCTGCGCGGACGCGCGCACTTTGAGGGATGGCGTGGAAGTGCAGGGAGTAGCTAAGTGGACGAGGATAGGGAGGGAAGGGAGACTTACGCAAGCTACCAATGCATTGGACTCGCACGCTGCTCCGTTGCCCGTGGGATGGACGTGCTCGAGAGTTCCGTCGCTGACAGGGCGACGCTCAGGACAAAGGAAAACGCGGCTGAGCGCGCGCACTGCAGTCCGAGCTCGTTTGGCCGCTGGATCTCATCACGAAGCGTTCGTATACCGCGATCGACAGTGCCACCCGTGGCCGCACTGGCATGACAGGAGCAAGGAGGATCAGGAAGGATGATCAGGAGTATAAATGCGAACGGTCCGACGTACGCGTCAGGACTAGGAGAAGGACGATGCATATCGAATGGTTTCGATAGTTCAATGAGAGTCTGAATCAAACTATAGTTTGATTCAGACTCGTAACCGACGGCAGCAACGTGGACCCTGAAGGACTAGGCATATCTATACACACATACATACATGCATGCATGCATGCATACAGACAGACATACATACACATACATACATACATACATACGTACATACATGCATACATACATACATACATACATAGATAGATAGATACACACAAACATACAAACATGCATGCATACATGCTGCATGCATGCATACATGCATACATGCATACATGCATACATGCATACATGCATACATGCATACATACATACATACATACATACATACACATATACATATGCATTTGTATATATATGTACATAGATATGACAAGGATGAGAATGAAGATAATAGTTAGGAGACGTGTTCTGGATGGGAATGACCATTAGCGACAGAAATCAGGAGGATCATGAGAATAGGAATGAGCAGGAAGATGAGGATCGGGATCCGAGATGGCACCTGGTTATTGGTCATCACATGAGCACTACATTGACCATACGTGTTCGCATCAGACTTGTTCGCATTATTGTTCGCAGCAGCTGTGTTCACATCAGGCTGTTGGCATCGCGAGGGCACACATTGGTTAGGGGAGGGGGCATGTTCAGTAGTTTTCGCGTCAAGCTGTGCAGCAAATCCATATTCCATATTCTTGCCCCTCGCGGCCATCCTTCCATATACTTGCCCCTCGTGGCCATCCATATACTTGCCAATCGTGGCCTTCCATATTCGCATGTGCTTTCGAGCATTCGTGTTATTCGTGTTCATATATATATCTTGTCGGGCCCCATGGCGCGAGCTCGGGCGGCGGCGCTGAGATTGCAGGCAGACGATCTCGAGGGAGAGGGGGGCGGACGGGGCCAACCCGAGAGTTTGGACAACGACGGAGGCGCTGGTCTCCGAGAGTACCTCGTCAAGCAATACAGAGCTGGCATTTTCTCTGCTGTCGATGTTTGCACGATCGCACACCACGCGTGCAAGGGAGGGCGTGGAGGGGTCGGAGATCTCGCGCTAGATCCCTCGAGGTCTGCCCATGCGGCGGACCACGTCAGAACTGCTCTTGGCCTTCATGAGACTCGATCACTATTCTACATGGTGCGAATGCCAGCCTGGGATAAGGAGACGAATGCACGGCACTACCTCGACTTTCCCATCAACCTCCCCCACGAAATCTTCGCTAGGGAGTGGGAGAAGGACCCTTCCAGGTGGGGCCCCATCAATTTTTCGCCCGACGACTTGCCAGTCAACTTTTCGGAGCACGAGGTTCCAACACAGAATAAACACACATCCCGAATGGCAAGCTTGAGACACACTTCGTTGGGTCATGCTGGCCACGGCCCAAGGGCGCCCGCGGTGCAAATGCCAGCGAAATGTGACTTTCAGGCTTGTAATGGGGATGTGTTTGCTTATTATGTGTATATATCTGGGCAGGTTGTTCAAGGGCACGATGGCCGCACCACACCGCTTGGCTACTTCTCCGACGGGGTGCCGCATACGAAAAGAGACAGCTTTTATTGTTGTTATATGTCAAGTATTCTCACGAAGCGGCGGTTTCTCGTGTGCGCGATCAGAAAGCAGGACCTCTGCAGGTGCGGCTGCAGGGGGAATTGCTCCTTCGGGCTGGCCCAGCGGGTGTTGAGGTGGAGCTTTAATGCTCTGGCCGAAGGCACGTGGCCCAGTCGCAGCCATGACGATGGCCCGCTGGACCACGCTAGAGACGTGAGGCGTGGCTTCGAGCTGGCACAGGGCTGGAGAGGAGCCCTGTGCGAGATTAGGGCTGACCTCTTGGAGGTAACAGGAGCGCTGGGTTTCAAGACCTGGCAAAATCCTACCCACCCGTGTTTTGTTTGCATGTGCCCCAAAGTTCAGCTGAAAACGTTTCCTCGGGATGTCAACCACGTCTTGTGGGCGCCGCGGGACGAGGCCATGTATGTGAACATGGTCAATAACAGCCTTCAGACAGTTCATGTGCTAGACGGAGCATGTCTCACGCGCCTCCAGAGGATCTTGAACTTTGACCATAGTCGGGGAGGCTTGGTGACGACCCAAGAGAGCGCAGAATTCAATTTAGGGAAGGGTTTCCGCCTGATCGAAAACGAGTTTTGCACCGATATCCATAAGCTGGGTGACATAGAGACGCCCTGTAACCTCAAATTCTTCAACACGAAAGATAACCAAGGGCTCGACTTTGTCTGTGCATTATTTGATATTGTGGGCGCGGGTGTTAATACAATAATGTTAGATGGTATGCATATAATGGACTTGGGCGTCGCGCAGTACGTGATAGGGGCCACTTTCCACCAGCTAATCAAGAACAACTTCTCTGGTTCTGCCGCCACAAGGAAGCCCGCGAGGGACCGCCAGTGCCTTCTGGACTTGCGCAGAAGGATCCGAGCGCACTACCTAGCCACAGGGGCCAACAGGAAGAGAGGCGCCAAATCGATGATCGGCAGGCTCACGCTCAAAATGTTTCAGCCCGCGAAGGCGGGGTCCGCGCCGCGGCTTAAGGCGAAAGCCGCGGAGTCCAGGAACCTTGTCCCGCTACTGCCGCTCCTTTGCCAGGAGCACGACGCGTTCTTAGGGCCGCGTAAGGAAGCGCTGGTTCGAGCGGTCGGCCACCTTGCAAATGTGCACAGGGTCCAGAAGGACGAGCAGAGACACATGTCCCCTCAGGGCGCAGCCACCCTTAAGAAGCAATTTGGGACTTTGCGCGTGCCCTACGCTAAATGCGGAGTGGCCGCTGGTCCCGTCGCCGCGTTGATTGTGGATTCGCCTCGACCCTCGTGCGCCACGCCTTTTGCTCGATTCGCCTCGAATCCTCGTGCGCCGCGTGTTGCTGGATTCGCTCGTGGTCCATGGTCGGCTGGGTTTCGCATGTGTGTGGGGCGCGCGCATATTCCTTTGTTGCTGGAGAGGAGCATGATTCGTTTCTTGAATGCGTGGAAGGAGTACAGAGGCCACATAGTTTTCAAATTCCACGCATGCATTCACCTGGCCGAACAGGCCCTCTTGAAGGGTAACCCGCGGGCGTACTGGACGTACCCCGACGAGGCGGAGAATCGGCTGATGCAGCGGGTGGCGAAATCCCTCCACGGCGGGCAGACATTCTACGTCACGTTGCTCGAAAAGGTCGTGGCCTGAGATCGATGGTCTCTGGCGACGTTCTATTCGAGCACTGAGACGTAGAATGTGGAACCGCCGTGGGGGGTGTTCGCTCCCCTGCAGAAGTCGATTGTCCGCTTCGCTGGGGTACGTTCCGGGCGCCGACGACAAAGGAGGAGGAAGAAGACGAGGATCATGCCATGTGAGGTCGAGGTTACCCTTCAGGGCGCCTGTCGGCGCCTGCTCGGTGGCGACAGATATGTGGATCCACAAAGCAGAAGGAAAATGTCAGAGCGGTCGCGCTGGCTTGCCGCCGCCTCGGGCCTTCGGTGGCCACCTGCCCCCTGCTTCTATTCTGGGGGTGGCGGCGGAGCGGCGGAATCTTATAAGTGTGGGCGCGTGTACGTGTGCGTGAGCGTGTGCGCGCGTGTGTGTTTAGTAGGATCGGAGGTGGGAGATCGGAGGACTCGCCTTCCCCCCTTTTCCCCCCGATGTTCGTCGAGGCCGTTCCTCCTCCTCCTCCTCCTCCTCCTCCTCCTCCTCCTCTTCCTCCTCCTCCTCCTGCTTATCATATGTTGTTTCCTCTTCGCGTTCCCCCTCCTCCTCCTCCTCCTCCTCCTCCTCCTCCTCCTCCTCCTCCTCCTCCTCCTCGGTCCTCCTCCTCGATCCTCCTCCTCTTCCCCCTTTCCCCTCTTACTCCTCTTCCCTAGCTCTGCTCCGCCTCCTCCGCCTCCTCCTCCTCGGTCCTCCTCCTCCCTCCGCTTCCGCTTCCGCCCCCGCTTCCGTTTCCGTTTCCCCCTCCTCCTCGATCCTCCTCCTCCTTCTGCCGCCCCACCCCCGCTTTTATTTTCTTTTTGTTTGCTTTTTTTTTTTTTTTTTTTCCTTTGCTTTTCTTCTTGTTGCTTTTTCTCTTTGTATCTTCTGGGTTTTCTGTTTCTTTTTTTTTTTTTGTTTTTCTTTTCGTCGTTTTCTTTTTATTCCTTTTTTTTCGCTTTTCTGTCGGTTACTACTCTCTCCTCCTTCCTCTTTCCTCCTCCTCCTCCTCTGTTTTTTTTTTTATCTCCTCGTGCTGTTGATCAAGGGCGCGAGCCATGGCTCAGCTTTGGGAGTACCCTTGGGGGGGGGGGCCTCCCTCCCCTTTCCCCCCCGCGGCGGATGTACGTGGTGCATGGTCCCCAGGGCCGCCACCTGGGCTCGACCCAGTGGTGCCCTGGGAGGCCCCCGTCGGGGGAGCGGGCCCCGCGGGCCACGCAGGGCCGCCTGCCCGTGCGGGTGTGGCAGGCGTCCCGATCGAGCGCCGCTCCACCGCGCGTGCACATCACGCGGTGGTACTGCTGGCTCGGCGAGCCAGCCGCGGCCGTGCTCGTGTGGATCGACGACGGCGGGTGCCTCGCTAGCAGCGCATCGCTTCATTAATGTAATGACCCGATGCGTTGCTAGCGTGGCATAGCATGTATAGGATGGGCGCGCGCCGCCCCTAAACACCACTTCGTGTGGTCGCCCTGTACGGTATGTACGGGGGCGGCCGCTTCGTACGCACGTGCTGGGTGCCCGATCGACTCCGTCGTGTTCGAAAAAAAAAAAAAAACCTTTCCTCCTCCGCCCCTCCACCTCTTTCTCGCCGCTTGCATTGGCTCGAGCACGCGATTGATCGTCTGGTAGCGGTGCCGCGCGATCTCGCGCGCTCGTTGACTTCGACAACGAGCTCTGAATCCAACAAGGTTCGTGCTTAGGCTGTCCTAATTTTCTGTCAGAAAATTGTGTTTTTGTCGACGTCGTGATTTAAATTCATGACGATGCGAGACGTCCTGATAAAATTGTGACCGCAAGAGGTCCGGGGGGCGCCGTGTACATCGACGCGCGATTGCGGAGCGGCGTCGGACCCAGAACAGCGTTGGGGGTGCAGAAACGCGGAGCCAGAGCAGCGTTGGGGAGAGCGGCATTACTGGCGAGCCACGCCAGGGTCTTGCCTTCTTCACGCAGGTGTTCCATTCGGGGGGTTTGGTCACCCCGAGGTCGTTCTGCGCCCCCGGAGCACCGTTGCACTTTCTGGGGTCGGGGGACGGGGTATGGGTTGGGGGAATGGGTGGGGGGATGGGGCCGTCGCGCGCCGTGTTCGCAGGTGGAGCGCGCGCGCGCGCGCGGAGGAGCGGGCCGCCCGCGTGCGCTTCGCGCCGCGGCGGGGCGCGTGCGATTCGCGGCGCGCGAAAGTTGCCAGGGGCCGCGCAGGGCGCGGCGCGGGGAATAGGCTGTCGGTGATCATGCGTTGACTTTAGGCTCGGGGAGGCTCGGGTCAGGGAACCATAATCATGACAGAAGGGGACGCCCGCGCGCGCTCGCAGGGACTGCGCGCATCAGAGCGCGCAATTGGATCGTGCGAGCAAAGCGCGTTGGCGACAGCGGTTGCTGTTGGTTTGTTTCCCACCCACCACACCCGGGCCCATTTCTTGTGTTGTGGTTTGTGGTTTTTGGTTTTCTTTTTGTTTTGGTGGGGGTTTTTTTTTTTTTTTTTTTTTTCTTAGGGCGGGGAGCGTTTTTTTTTTTTCTTTTTCTTTTCGTTCTTCTTTTCTTTTTTTTCATATTTTGAATATCTTGTTTTTTTTTTTCTCTTTTAGGGAGAGAATTTGGGATGGGCGCCGGCGTGGACTTCGCCGTGCAAGAGGCGATGCGCACCGGCTGCGAGGGGTCCTGCCTCGGGTCGGCCGAACGTGTGCGTCGCAGGTGCGAGAACGCCGCGCAGGTCAGCGCGCGCGGGGAGGGGGCCTTCCTTCCCTGGCGGCCGCTGGCAGCGGTCGCATCACCAGGTGTAACGTCTGACAGGTGCGCGACATGTTTTGCGCGCGCGAACACGCCCGCCGTATCCCGACCCCCGGCGGGGTGCTCGGGTCGGTGAGGGCGGCGCCGGACGCCGGCAGTGTTCGCTTTCCCCGTGGGGAGAGCGGCATTACTGGCGAGCCACGCCAGGGTCTTGCCTTCTTCACGCAGGTGTTCCATTCGGGGGGTTTGGTCACCCCAAGGTCGTTCTGCCCCCCCGGAGCACCGTTGCACTTTCTGGGGTCGGGGGACGGGGTATGGGTTGGGGGAATGGGTGGGAGGATGGGGCCGTCGCGCGCCGCGTTCGCAGGTGGAGCGCGCGCGCGCGCGCGGAGGAGCGGGCCGCCCGCGTGCGCTTCGCGCCGCGGCGGGGCGCGTGCGATTCGCGGCGCGCGAAAGTTGCCAGGGGCCGCGCAGGGCGCGGCGCGGGGAATAGGCTGTCGGTGATTATGGTACTATTGGTTGCACCTCATCATACGTTTTTCCATGCTACCGACGCCGACTCTGAACGACTATGCCAAACATTGGTACTACCTCCTGCTATTTTGAAGCTCTGCGATGGCATCGCGCAGCACTTCGAGCGTTGCCAGAACAGGGTAGGGATCGTGAGCTGGCCTCTTGTCCAGGGTACCTGGGCCACTTGCAGCAGTGAGTAATTTCAGCCGCTGCGCGCCGATGAATGTCATTGCTTTCGACTGGCCGCGCGACTCCATTGCAAAGCGTCTGCTGCGCCCAGCTGTTCATGCGCATCCCCGGACCGATGGGGGTGCTAGATATTAGATAATGACCGAGAGGGCGGATTCACGGGCGACGTGGCGACTCTTTCCAGCGACCGCTGCGACGGGGCGCGAGACTCTGGAGGCGCGGCGGCCCGCGCGCACTCCCGCGCCGCGGGGCGGCAGGGGCGGCCCGCGCGCGCGCCCGAGCAGCCCTGGCCGCGGCGCTGCGAATTGGCCCGCGCGCGAGGGGGGCGGAAAAGAAGAGGGGGCGGCCGCGGAGGCGGGGCGACAAGGGGGGAAGGCGCATCCGCGCGGTGAAGCTGCAGTTCGGCGCGCGGGGCGGCCGAGCAGGCGCGGCAGCCTTCGGCAGCGGGCGCGGGGCGGTGCCGGGCAAGTCGCGGGGGGGAAGCCGGCGCTGCGAGGACAGCGGCAGCCCAGATCGCTTCAGCGGGGGCCGGCGCGGCAGCCGGCGGGTTCGGCAGACGGCAGATGGCCCGCAACTGTAGCAAGTTGCTTTCACCCAGCATGTTTGCGACGACGTGTCCGGCGAGAAGACTCTCGTTGACGAACGCAGTTCGTCTGGCATTCGCAGGGTGATGCAGCGATGGCTGCGGCGCTGCGCGTCGTCGATCTTCCACCAGTGAGGCAGCAGTCTCGGTTGGACTGGGGCCGCGCCCTCATGGGGGATAAGTTCGGCCAGATCACGAGGAAGACCATGCCGTTCACTCACCTGGGATGAAAATGCAGCCGCATGCCAAACCGCTGCATCTGCATTATCCAGGGCGCCCACCTCGACGCGATCAAGGCCATCGAGGCTGGACGCATCGCAGGAGCAGGAGCGTTGTAGGAGAGAGGGGATCCGCGACTGTCGCCCCCTACGCTGCCAATTCTTACAACTGTTGCAAGCGAGACGCGGAGCGATCGCAGCGACGACACAACTTCAGGCAACGCAAACGAAGCCGACCATCGCGGACATGATGGCATGTATTATCACACTTGATCGGAATAAGGAGAACAGGGAAGTCATGGGGCACCACTTGCACCGACTCCGCTGGCCGTTCAAGTGATCCCCCAACACGGGCGCCAGGCATGGATCAAAAGTCTGTAGTCCTGCTCGCGAAGCTCACTGACTCTTCCGGTGTGAGGACAGACCCTTCCATATCGCAAAGGGCGGCATGCTGTATCCGGCCGGTTCCCAGCACTGCGCGGCCAAAGTTCGCCCCCCCTGTGGCGCTTCAAAGAAAGGTGAGCGGATGAGGTGTTCAACATTACACGCAGACGCAGTTGCAACAGTTGGTGGGTCTCAGAGCGCACAGTATGCGGAACGAATGTTTACAGATATTACCACGTTGCCCTGGATCAGGCTCACAAGGACTTCAATGACGCAAGGATTTCTACAGCGACAAGGCAATGGCTTAGACCGTCGTGCCAGCGGAAATTGGAACATATTGGTTCGGCTCAGATCAGCTCCTAGTGGAACGCAAACGGGTACCAGCAGATATTACT